TACTACTGTACATACTAGACTTACTACATGCAGTGGTGGACAGTAACGGAGTAGCTTTACTTCGTTACTGTACTTAAGTACATTTTCAAGTATCTGTACTTTACTGGAGTCCTTTTATTTTGAGTAACTTTTACTTCACTACATTCCAAAGCATAAGATCGTACTTTTTACTTCACTACATTTCATAAAACTTATCGTTACTCCTTATAATATATCACGTGCTCCGAGACGCAGAAGCGGTGTGCTGCCGTAAAGTTAACGGTTTTATTAAAATGCTACGCATTTAGCCCTATGTGACGGCTGTTTTTATATTGTTTATCAACAGTATACATTTTTATATTGTTTGGATTAACTAGCCGAGTAGACAGATATGAATGTTTATTCATAAACAGAATATAAATAAATATTGATTGTTGATGGTTGCTGTCTAGCTAACAAGCTTGCTGGTGCTAAGTTGAGGTAATTTTTAGATATAAAATCCAAATATTTTTATTCATTCACCTAGATAGATTACATCTGGGGGAATTATTTTGGGAAAATCCCAGGTATTTTGAGCAGTAGGATTATAAAAAATATGTGCTAATATAAAATTAAATTAAGTAGCCTATATAAAATTGCAAAATAAATCTATCTATCAGTACTTTTTTTACTTAAGTACATAAAAAAATCGAGTACTTTTGGACTTTCACTCGAGTAAAATTGAAAAGGGAGTACTTTTACTGGAGTAATATTTTATTATACGCATCTGTACTTTTACTCAAGTACTTGATTTGTGTACTTCGTCCACCACTGACTACATGAGTCACAATGCAAAACATCCTCCCAGTCCAACCTGAACATTTATGAATGTGAACCAAGCTGCAAAAGCAGGCCATTCAGAAATCAAAGCTAAATTTTCAGCATCATTACGAAAATGATCCTTCCGCAATCATCCTAATATACTGATTATTTTGACTATTTTGGCCCAAGAAGTCTCAATTAACATTTGTAAGACGGAAAAAATATTATAATTTTAAAAAGTAGTGTTATCTACTAAATTGACAAGATGCCCAATTAAGATAATATGCACCAATTTAGATAATTATTTGTACTTACATTGTTGTGAACGGTCTCGCCTTTCTCAAACATCATCTTCAGACTGTTGAGAGGCACTGTGGGCTTTTCGATGGGCACATCTCTTTGCGTCCACTTCTCCATCGCCTGGTCACTGTCGCTCAACAACTGGGTCTCTGTGCCGTCAACAAGCTGGCCATCTGTGGACTCCAGTGAGGTGTTAACACCGGGATCTAAAGGCTGTCGCTGATGGTTCTCCTGCTGTCTGGAGTGTGTTTTGGGTTCTGGAGATGTAGGTGTTTCGGCTGGTTGTTCCCAGAGCTGCTTTAGGACACTCAGATTGCCGTTGCGCAAGGAAGGAGTCGACTTCTCTGGAGACTGTAAAAGAACAAAGAGACTGTCAGTAGAGCGTTCACTCCTGGGGTTTCTCAACTTTTAAACTCCAATCTCGACAGAAGACAATCCAGACAACGGAGTCTTGACTCTACTGCTCTATTACTATCTAAATCGAAATTTAAACATAATAAAAAAATAACAATTTAAATAACAGTATATACAGATTTAGTTATTTCAGTCTTAAGTTTTCAATAAGACAGGTTTAAATTTAAATTCTAAAAGAACTAATAAAAAATACTAATACATACACTCATGATTAAAAATACATTACTGACTGAAAGTCTCCAGGGCTTTTATGACAATTTTGACACAGAAAAAGACCAAGGAAAAGCTGTAAGCAGATAGAAATGATTGAGAGTATCTTGTCAATATCTGGATTAGTAGCGATTGGCTAAACACAATCATTGTTAGTCTGTTAGAAAAAAAGGTTGACTACAAAACCTTTAGAAACCCGGCAAATGGAAGGAGTGGCTCCCTCAGACTGTGTTGGTGGAAATGAGGGGGGAAGAAATGCAGCACCAGATGCTAGTCTTTAGAAAATATCTGCATGAGAGAACTAGGCCAAGCCCCTTACAACAGGACAGACGAACCAGGAAGAACATAAAAAGGGGAAGTAGTGACAGGAAACAGGGAATAAAGAAAGTTTGTGAAAGATATTACAAGCTTAGTCACATGCCCAGGTTGTGTGAGCAGTTAACATTTAAGGTTCAATCTAACAACAATGGGGCAGAAAGCAAAACCTTTGATTTTAAAAAAAAAAGTTTAACAAAACCTCAATGCAAAACCTTCATGACACGAAACAGCTGCATTCTCATACCTACATCCACAAGAGTATCATCCTGTTCATCCTCATTTCTGCAGCTCCTGACAAACTCTTACTGAAGATTCCTCGTAGTGTTTTATTTATGAAGAAACACTACCATTCAGAAGACACAGACTGACTGGACCAGTTATGTAAAGCGCATGGGAATTACCTGCGGATTAAGACGTCTAAATAGGGATTGAGATGACTGGACACTGAATGCATGCGTGTCTAAACAGCAGTAGTAGTATAGTAGTGCAGTTTTCAGATAGATAGATAGCTAGATAATTAATAGCAAAGTGGTGAGAACTTACTTTTCTCTTGTCTGAACTGGTTTCTTCTGCTGCCTTCTGGTACCTGAGAAGAAATGAAGCGGAAGAGTTCACTCAACTTAAACTCATGAAGAGTAGCTAGTTTCTATGAAGTTTAAAAAGCAATCTTTAGAAGCTTGACTTCTCTGTTCTGGATCTTCTTTTATCTGCCTAAAAATTTCACTTTTGATCATTGGTGGCCCCTAGTGGTCACATGTAGCAGTGCAAACCGATGAACTGGACTGTCTTGATTTTGCTTCCAGTTTTATTTTTATGGCATGTTAAAACAAAACTTGAAATCTAGCCTAAAGGGGTTTCAGATACACTAACCATCTGTTGGAAGGACTTTAAAAAATTCCCAAGCACCCAAAGCAGGAAGTTCATCTGATTTTCAAAGGAAATCCACATTCAAACTAACCCTTGGCTCTAAATGTAGGTTAGTTGGAAAGAAAATCAGTGATAAAGACTACAAAGAATGATGATAATCATAGTCCTGCAGGCCTGAACAAACGCAAAACAGCCGAATACCAAACAAATGATTTATATTTGCCCACACCTATCACAGGTCAGTAATCAGATTCTAAACCATTTAATCCTTCACTTTGAATTCTTTAATGCTCACTAAGCCAGCTTGAAAATCTACAGTACTTGGGATGGTGAAGTCATTGATGTAGGTGCAGGAAGCCAAAAGCAGAACGCTGGAAAAGACATTAGAAAATCTGACAGGAGATGCACTGGAACAACTCCAGATGCTTTGAGAAATTCCTCAGCGCAGGAAATACACTGACCGAGCTGCTTCTAATGAGTCGGGCAGCAGATATGTAGCTGTAAATCAAACATGTCCAATATCTGAGACCAGACTGAAAATGAGGAATTCAGTATGGAACTTCAATCTGAAGCGTTTTAGAGTTCTGACATTTTTAAAGAAATGAGTAAATATTGGGAATTCTCATAGGTCAGTAATTAAATGCAAGTACAGTATATCATTTGTAATTAAGTTAAACAGTATTAAATTTCACTAAAATGCGCCTGGAATAATTTAACTACGTGTCTGGGTGTTGACAGCATCACTATAGGATTTGACAGCACTTTCTGCTGATGAACCTCCTGATAATGTTGGAGCAGAGGTCTGAACATCATAAACCAATTTAGAACAAAACAGCAGCTTTTAAAACAGAGGTGCCTTGTAAAAAGGGTTAGAAACAAGGTCTAAAGAGCACTAAAAGAGTGCCGAAGTGAAAGCAAATTGGAGAGGTTAAAGGACAAGTGAGATCGGTTTAAGATATGCAAATCCTGAAATTTGCTTACTTGGAAAATCGCTCAGCAATGGCCGTGCTTTTGCCTCGCACACCAACAATGGAGAGCTCCTTTGCTGTCACTCGCAAGGACTGTGAAGCCCACTGCCCACGATGAAATGAACTGACTGCCATCTTGGTTTCCTGATGTCTTCAGTAGGATTTCTGTTAGGACAGAGGCATTTCAAATATTAAAATGAAGACAAAATTACTTGCCGCTTTGATGATTATATAGCCAGCCCAGGAGGACTCTCAGAAACCCCCCAATGTATGGAAAAGCTAGATTTTTCAGTACCACTTATTAAACTTTTCAAATCCATTACAATATCAGATGATAAAGTAATGATTTTTTTCCAATATGCTCTTAAATATAAAGGTTCTGTATTGGCATTGATGGTTCCATGAAAACCCATGAACCTTTCTCTTCCACAAAAGGTTCTTTATGGTGGAAAAACTCTTAAAAATAAAAGGTTCTAAAAGGCAGCAAAGCCGTAGAAGAAACATTTCGGTTCCTCAAAGAACCTTTCCATTTTTTCTTAATGTGAAGAGCATTTAAAAAATCTAAAGAACCTTTTTTCGACTATAAAGAACCTTTTGTGCATTGAAAAGGTTCCATGGATGTTAAAGGTTCTTCATGACATAATAGATGCCAATAAAGAACCTTTATTTTTAAAAGTATAGACTACTGTATAAAAATGTTCTATAGACTAAAAGAAATGGTTATTGTAAGAACTATTAAAAGGTTCTTTAGGGAACCAAAAATGGTTCTTCTATGGCATCGCAGTGAAAACCTCCTATTTTTCAGAGTGTAGATAGAAATGTGGTTAATTGAATTTTATTAGAAAACTGAAAACCCTACAATCCAACAATAAAAAAGCTGGCCCAATACAATGCATTGCAAAAAAAAAAAAAAAAGGCATCCAATTATACTCAGGGCAACCGTGTGATTGCACAAATCAAATGTGTCATGAAATCCCCAAAACACCTGCGGGACATTCAAAATTATTCTTTTCCCATATCACTCTTGATTGAGTCATCATTCGGCGTCAGTGCACAACACCTGTAGCTGCTCACCTGATCATTCAGACATGCTCAGACTTATGCCTGATATGACAGGAAATAGCAGAGCAATGCTCTTATCACATGCTGTCATGCTTGTTAAGGTACTTCACAGGAAACCGATCACCTGTGAGCAACCGCAACCCTCTCTTTACCCATGAATTCATCACGTACACACAGGTGAGAGTCTTATATGAATAGACAGAAACTGCTGGAAATTATCCATGTAAAGATTAGGATCAGAAAGGAATTTTCCTCGTCACAGATTGATTTTCTGAGTAAATAACTAGAATTAGGTTTCAATAATGCTAATACTAATTCCTCAAATTAACCAGCATTTTAATGATTAGCTTTAGAAATATATAAATTCAAACATGATCTCCCGCCATGTACAGTTGAGCAAATGGCTTTGTTTTGCGTAAGAAGCAAAATTCACAGTTTAAACGTCACTGAAGCTGCTGACACAGCAACTGAGTCCTCATTACCTCAGATTACTCCAAAACCATAAACAGACTTTTAATCTGCTATATAGTCTGTTGCCTGAGAACGTATCATATCAAAGGAACCCAACAATGAGCTTTATTAAGAGTTAATGCTCTGAGAGATCTACGTTTTCTCAAGGATCTCTCGTATTGAGACATTAGGATGTGACTCAGCAGATGAGACACTCTCTCTCGTCTCATCTCATAAATCAGGACTTTCTAAAAGGCAACAAATTACAGTCGAGGGCTTTCCAAAATTGCTGATTTGCTTCAAGTAGACACTCATCCATCCAGCATTTACACAACGTGCTTCTGCTTAAATGACATGGGAACATTCAGATGAATTCAATGAAGCAGAAATATCACACTCAGGTCACATCAGCACTTCAGCATGCTTAGACAAGTCTACACTTTTTTTTTATTCCCAGAGGTTTGACTTACCCTTGCGCTCTGCTTTTAATCATATCATCAGAAGGGTTCCAACATCTTTTGACCAATACATTTTCAATACTTCAACCAGTCATTAGTCTTTTAAAAATCACAAAAAGCAGCTTATAGCTAGTCAAAATGCCTTTCAGTATTAAAAATTCATAACGTTCCCAGGCCTGGAAATCACAGTTTTAAAAAATAAGTGTAATAAAAAAAAAAAACATTTAAAATAAACTTTAAATAAAATAAAAGAACATGAAATAAATAAAAAACATGTTTCCTCAGAATCGTGTTTCAAATGAATGCACATTTCCTTTTAAGTTGCTAAGATTATTTCAAATAAATAAATAAAAATAATCTGAAATGTTTTGTTATTTAATTCACGCAACAATTTTCATGACAATGGATGCAATGCACAAATAATGCTGGAATGTATGTGCTCATTTAACTTTGATTACAAATAACGTTGATAACATATTTAGCATTAACAGGTCACATCAGCACTTCAGCATGCTTCGACAAGTCTACACTTTTTTTTTTTTATTCCCAGAGGTTTGACTTACCCTTGTGCTCTGCTTTTAATCATATCATCAGAAGGGTTCCAACATCTTTTGACCAATACATTTTCAATACTTCAACCAGTCATTAGTCTTTTAAAAATCACAAAAAGCAGCTTATAGCTAGTCAAAATGCCTTTCAGTATTAAAAATTCATAACGTTCCCAGGCCTGGAAATCACAGTTTTAAAAAATAAGTGTAATAAAAAAAAACAACATTTAAAATAAACTTTAAATAAAATAAAAGAACATGAAATAAATAAAAAACATGTTTCCTCAGAATCGTGTTTCAAATGAATGCACATTTCCTTTTAAGTTGCTAAGATTATTTCAAATAAATAAATAAAAATAATCTGAAATGTTTTGTTATTTAATTCACGCAACAATTTTCATGACAATGGATGCAATGCACAAATAATGCTGGAATGTATGTGCTCATTTAACTTTGATTACAAATAACGTTGATAACATATTTAGCATTAAACTGTATATTACCGCTCTTAACCTGTTTTACACAAAAATGACTTTCTAAAATTAACGAATGCAGTATCTTGATGTAATACAGGTTTTTTTCATTACATTGTATCTCTTTTAAATTAAATTAGCAAGTTACATAAATCAACTCCTGGGACTCTTACAGAAACATATGGTTGGTGAGTCCATTGAAAGCAAAGTGAAAAGTGAGAAGCAGCTCAATCCAACAAAACCATGAAGCATGCATTCAAAATGCAAGCTTGTGTTCCCTCTGAACTCGTCAACACAAACAAAGGTCCATTTACTGTATAGGCCCCCCAAATCAAAACATACTTACTTTAATCTTGCAGTCTATCAAGCCTCCTCTTGCAGTGGATGTGCTGAGAGTTTTCTTCTTGGCCTCTCTGTCCGTCCTCTCAATGCTCTGAACACTCTGCCTCTGCTCACTCTCACATTGTTTGTGAGTGAGGAAATATACTGACTCCTCTCAGCCAATAGGAAGAGAGCTGCTTTGCACCTAACAGGTAAGGCTCCTCCCACTTCTGGGCTCAGCAGTTCATCATCAGACTCTCAGCAGAACAGACAGAGTGAGTCAACAAGGCCTCTACTCAGTCTGGGAATCCCTCAGGATTCCTGGAAGTGAGCAAAAGTCCCCGCCTCCATATCCTGCTCCTATTTCACCCCAAAATCAAAAGAAAAATTAATTAGGACAATAAAGATTGTAATTTTTTCCTTCACATTTTTTTCTCTTTTTTTTCCTTCATTGGAGATTCTTATTAAATTCTCATCTAATATAAAATAAAACTGGAAACACAAAGCAATGATGTCTCACAGAGGAGCCTGTCTAGGAGTCTTCAGGCAATGGATCAGTTTTTTTTTAATCCCAGTCACATGGAAGTCTTGCTTGAGACTGGACACAACATTCCACAGTGTTAGATTGTGACTTTCAGAACTTTATATATATGTATGTATATAATATATATATATATATAATAAAAATAACGGCCACCCTAATATATATATATATATATATATATATATATATGTGTGTATGTATATGTGTGTGTGTTTCCTCAGGAAAATTTTTTTTTCAAATAGATTAATTAATTTCATAAATAAATGTAAAAAATCTATTCAAATATCAAATAATGTGAAATATTTTGTTGTTTAGTTATTTTTATTATGCTACTTTATTTGTTTTATCTCACTTTATTATTGTATTGTATTGTATTATTATTTATTTCCCAATTTTAAATGTGTATACTTTAATTGCTTTTAATTTTTCTTAAGGGGACCAATAAAATTCTATAAAATATTCTCCTGGATTTGTCAAGCACTTTAAGTTCAGAAATTGTTGGTGTTTCATGAATGGAAAATTGATGATGTTCCACTCTTTACTCAATTGTCATGTTGAGAACCAAGGGGGAATCATTTTTTTTTTATAAATATGAGAATGGGCATATATGAACAAATATCATAAGTTGTTTATAGAAAAAAAAACGTTAATATTATTTAATGCATTTTTCCTAATTACCATTTTCTTATTTTGCTGAGCACATTTATTCACCTTTTTTATAGATATCGATAAAACGGAAATACATGAACAAATTAAATAATAATGAAACAGAACAAATCAGTAGTTCAGATGCAAAAGCCTCTAAGTGCCATTTGAAATTTTCTTATAAAATCAGCATTTTTCTCAGACTCCTATATATGTGTAGGTTCAGTAATTTCACTTTAATGGCAATGAATAGGTTATTTTCACTGCCATTAATGTGAAATAACTGAACTTAAACATAGGAGCCTGAGAAAAATGCTAATTTTAGAAGAAAATTTCAGGATTTTGCATCTGAACTCTTCAAATATGCATAATAGACACTAAAAAAAGCTGAATTGTTTAATGGAGGTTTCCTATCAAACTTTATCACTAAGGAAACTTCCTCACAGAATCACAATCAGGCCATGCATAGGCTGTCAGAGCCAGACAAGAAGATGGTTATTATCAATTATAAAGAATGTGAACGCTGATCATACTTTCTTAGACGTGTGCAGCAATTGTTAAGCAGGTCGGAAGGTGGACACAAACAAAATGAGACAGAGATGTGACTAGTGCAGAGCTAATTTCTTCATAGTTTTTCGCTTCATTATTTCTGTCCAAATTAAATAATAATGAAACAGAACAAATCAATAGTTCAGATGCAAAAGCCTCTAAGTGCCATTTGAAATGTTCTTATAAAATCAGCATTTTTCTCAGACTCCTATATATGTGTAGGTTCAGTAATTTCACTTTAATGGCAATGAATAGGTTATTTTCACTGCCATTAATGTGAAATAACTGAACTTAAACATAGGAGCCTGAGAAAAATGCTAATTTTAGAAGAAAATTTCAGGATTTTGCATCTGAACTCTTCAAATATGCATAATAGACACTAAAAAAAGCTGAATTGTTTAATGGAGGTTTCCTATCAAACTTTATCACTAAGGAAACTTCCTCACAGAATCACAATCAGGCCATGCATAGGCTGTCAGAGCCAGACAAGAAGATGGTTATTATCAATTATAAAGAATGTGAACGCTGATCATACTTTCTTAGACGTGTGCAGCAATTGTTAAGCAGGTCGGAAGGTGGACACAAACAAAATGAGACAGAGATGTGACTAGTGCAGAGCTAATTTCTTCATAGTTTTTCGCTTCATTATTTCTGTCTCAGCATTTTATCACTTCCCTAAGGCAGAATTATGGTTTCATCACACGCCTATTCACGACAGTAACTGATGAATCATACATCAAGGGTCAATTTTAAGTTCAGCATGTCAGTTCTGTAGAACAGAACAGAATTAATTAGTATAAAAAAATGGGGGCATTTGGAAATGAGTTGTTGATAGTGAAAGTTTACAGGTACATACTAAAAATAGCATCAGTTGTAGGCAGATTAATAACACTCTCTGTCCAGAAGGAGGCGGCAGCAGTAGTTGTTTTCGTATCAATATCACATTACATGCGGATGAGGTGTGAATGAGCCATCGAACGTTCCTCCGTCAAACTGAGGTAAACAAAATTTACTTTCGTGCTTAATGAAATGTGATTCATTCATGTGTGTGTGTAGGGTACTTCCCTCTGGTACTTTCTATATCTCTGTGCAGGCGAAAAAAACTACATTTTAAACTTTCAGTTTCTACGCTACAATAAACGACATTCTGAAAAGAAAGTAAGCGCGCGCAAATTTGTAACCCTAACAGTAACGCTGTTTATTTTAAAACGGAAGTGGATGCATATTGCGCATCATTTGATGAAATGATTATTATCTCTTTGTTCTCTTCAGTTTCCCGCGCTCTTCTCTCTACTGATGCGAGAGTGTTTGCAGTGTTTGTAATTGATATAT